TAAGGAAGCGTAACGCCGGCGGGTGTTCTTGCTGCTCCTTCCAAACCTAAAGCCGTGCCCTGGAAGCTGGGGCTTGCCTACAGTCTTCCAAAGCCGGCTTGCACAAGGAGCGACAGGGTCCAACCTCTGCTGCACCCATTGCCTACCAAGTGCCAAATGCAGCACTCAGGCTTCCCAGAGCCATGGGCCAGGCTCCCAGAAGTCACAAGGCTTATTTTAAAAGGATGAGGCTTTCTAAGATGTTGTATCCAAGATCCCTACATTTCTGTGGCATCCTCACTACTTGCCTTCTGGTTTCTTACGCCCCTGGGTGCACGGCGGTCACATTTGCAAGCTCTTCTCTGCAACAAGGACTAGACCCGTCCATCTCAGAACAAGCCGAAGCAAGCAGAACTTTTCCAGCCATCACCTGACTCCAGGAGCAGGGGCTTTAAGGCAGTCAGAGTAGGCCAAAGCGCTTCTAGGAGGGTGCTAGGATTAGGAGGTCAATCCCCTCCTTGACCTTCCACACTTTGGCTTCACTGAGTCTCCAAAGATGCTGGGGGCAAGATGAAGGGAGAGGGGGAGAAAGATGCTCTCCTTTCTCAGCTGGAGCCTTGGGGAGGGTAGTATTTCTAGATTGGGAGGAGGATGCTACTGGCTATCCATCAACATGAGGCTGCCCAAAGTGCAGGATGAGATGACATCGGAAATGGCAACTTTTCACGCATCCAAATAACAGCACGAAACTGGTGCGGATCATTTCCAAAGATTTTTCGGCCTGCGGCTGTACGTATTAGCCAAGCTCAGAGCAAGCTATGCAAAGACCTAGTCCAATGGTAAACGCTATATTACTGTAAATACCTTGGCCAGACCCCGAGTTAACGTAGCCAAGATAGCCATGCCAATCTAAAACGGAGCTAGGATGAGCTGCAGCAGGTGAGGATCTGAACCTGAGGGCCCAAAGAGTAACTTTAGAGGAGGGTAATCCATAATGCAATCCTGCTACATAGCAAATCTTCCAGGACAAAATCCTAGAACAAGCTTTGCCTGCAGGGCGTGCCGCTATATTCAACTGAAACACTGTCAAACTCAACAGAGACTGTCTCAGAGAATTAAAAAAAAATAACCCATATTATTTAAAACATCTTCATCATCTTAAAAAATGCCTGCAAGACAAGACCAGGACCTAACTGTACCATTTAAATGTGGTGACAATGGTTGTTGTTGCTTTTTCTTCCCACCTTTAACTGCAATAACAGAAGAGCCCAAGGGTCTAAAACTCTAATAATCTAATAAACTTTGCTAAGTGAACATTGTAACAGATATGCCTGGATGAGATCTTTGTAAATGCCAGGCAATTTCCCCTGATCTTTATCAGCGGAGAGGCAGCCGGGGCTGGAGCAGGAAGAAATTAAATTCCGTGCAAAATAATAACATCTGGACCAGATTTCGTTTGTCAGGCGCGCGGTCCCTTCAGATGTCAGCCTGCAAATATGAAAATGAACTCCGACGGCCCGTTTCTCCTCCCCTCCAGTTGGATGGGTTTCCATACCAACACATCGCAGTGCAGCTACCTGCCCGCGGCTGGCCAGTCCCAGGGACGCAAGGTCGGGCTGCTGGAAGCCAAGTTTGTCAGAGCAACGGAGGAGAAGGGACATACTATTTTTTTCAAATAACCTTTACAATTTAAAGCCATCTCTGTGCACCTTTTTCCCCCTGCTTTTAAACAATGGCCAGCTCTAGTGGCTTTACAGCCGTCTCTCACAACGCTTTTTGTCTCCTAAAGCCCCAGCTCCTGGAGTCATGTGGCAGGCGACTCTCCCGTGAGCTGGAAGAGGAACCCCGCTCGTCCCAGGTGCTCAAGAGCTCCTCTTTAAATCAGCAACCAGTTCAAATGCAATTGCCTAACAGGACGTGGGCTTTTGCCAACCTGACCCTCTTCTCCATAGCTAAGATACTTAAGGTTACAGCTCCCACTGCAATAAGGACAGGCTCTGTGTGCTACTCCATGCCACCTCTCATTCATGCCCTCCCATGGATGGTTCTCCAGGGAATCCAGAGTCCGTAACACTCACACGCAGCTGCGGATGCAAATCAGGAGGTGAAAGGAGGGCAGGCGGATTAAAAGTGCTGTTGAACGGAGCTCTGCAACTGTAGGAGATTTGCAAAGTTGTCTCCCCAGCTTCACGCCTCTGACAGTCACCCTCCAGCAGCATCTCTGGATGCTGGGGCCAGACCCAATTTTGGCAGCTCAAGCAGTTTGTTGCACTTCAGCAGCCAAAACATTTTTAAAGACGCGGAGATCAAAGCTCTGCACATATAAAAAAAAATAAATCAAGTGCAAAATCCATCTAAGACTCCCAGCTTCTAAATCCAACGGTAACTAAAGGCTTCCAAAGGCTGGAGCGAGTAGCATCGTCACGAATCCTATCTACTCTACCTGGAGTTAATTAAGCAGAGTTCCCTGCGAGTTCCAGTTAGAAATTCACCCATGTGAAATGGGAGGACTAGGAGTCGTCTCTATTGCCGAGTGGGGGGTTTTTTTATCACTAGAGCCGTTGAGATATTTTATCATTATTATTACATGTTTTTTCCATCAGAAAATACCAATTCCTTGTAGCCCACATGATTTTCCCACCCCACAAAACATCAATTTTAATGAAATTCTCCATGGAGAAAAAGGGCTCTCTTGTCCACAATGCTTAACAGCAGACTAGCTAATGCAAAGTAACTCGTAAGCCTGGGGCCAGGGCATGCACTTACGAGGCAGGAGATATGGGTTCGAAAACCCTGCTCCAAACCACATCTCATTTGCTTGCAAGCAGAGTTGAAAGGTCTCCGTTTCATTTCAACGTGAAGCAGAAACAGATTTCAAACCATCAATATTTTTCACAGGAAGGATTCCTGTTCCTTGGCCAGCCCCATTCACCAGCCATGGGCCATTTCTGACAACGTTTCATGCGAATCCCGAGCCTGCTGCACCGTCCTCCCATTAGTTTCACTGTGTTATTTAGCACCAATAAAATAAAAATCAATTCTGCTTGGAAGAAGCTCAAGACATTCTCGTCTGCTGTGCATTTGCTTTTCCTATTTTCAGAGAAGCAAGAGGCAGGTCAGGATGAGCATCAGTCTGACACCTGGCTCCACACACCACTTCTGTTAGGTCCTGATCCCCAGCCCATGAAAAGACTCCTCTTGACTCTCGAGGTCTTTGGACCCGGCCCTTAGCAAGGCACAAAAACAAATCACATTATTCTGCAAAAATATTAGTGTGATGGAAAAATGCTTGATTGCTCATGCCCTCCCCCGCCTTTTTTTTTTTTCTTAATATAGGCAAAAATGTTATTAATTTAGAATGAACAAATCCCAATACTGCGGTGGTCAAGAAATCATTTCATCGCACATTAACCGGAGAGAAAAACATTTTGCTCGAGTAAAGCCCCTGAAGAGTGATTGCAAGCATAAGCGACTACACCAAATTGGGATCTGCTAGTGATGAAGTGTGTTTCTCAAAGGTCAGGTTTGCTGAGAAAACAACACACCGTCCCAATAAAGAGAGAGAGAGAGAGGGGGAGGAAAAGATACAGGTAGCTCTGGAGAGGGCAGCTCCATATGCAAGATACCAAAGTGATGGGCAAGGAAGAGAGAGCTTGTAGGCAAGTGTAAAACAGACTATCCGCCCTCCGCCTTTTCCCACCCCCGGAGACTAGACTTTCATTTGAGTGTGCCGGGGATCAGCAAATTTTATTGAACATGCTTCTTAGTGGGAGGTTTATGGAGTATTATACTGGAGTCAGAGCTGGTTTGGACAGCTGCATAGTCCTGGGCTGGGGCGGGGGGGCTGTTAGAATTAGGTACATTGGCAGTAATGTAGCTCACTTCTAAAAGAAAAGGGATTTTTAATATTTTTTTCCCCATTTGTTCTTTCTGGAAAGGTGCTTGGCACTCTATAAGCTCCAGGTCAGACGTGCAGAGCCTCAGAGGGGTATCATCACCTTTGCTGGAGCGGATACAGCGTTTTGTGACCTTCAAGAGGAATAGCATTGTGAAAAGGCCAATTCCTCGCTGCTGGTTTAAAAGGCACCATCGGCCAACACGCTGCATCCCTTTCCATTATCCCAACAGCATCGCGATGGCTCTACACCCACAGAGCCAGTCCGATTCAAGAACCGGCAGCAGCAAGCGTAGTTCACAGAGGCCACCTGCTCGCACGACTTGCACGTGCATCCCTGCCAGCCACATCCGAAAGCAAGGCCACGGGCATCACCAGGACCGGGGAAGTGAGCAGGACTGTGTCCTCCTCTCCTGCCAGTAGCTGACCTCAGGCACTGAGGAGTCCTTATGTTTTACAAGCAAACTGGGGGCTCCTCATGATTTTACTGAGCTTCCAAGGGATAAACGCACAAAGCAAGGATTAGCTCAGAGGTGCACTGCTCCGACTTGATGCAGAAAGGAAGGCGGTCACCACTGCTAGCACGGATATCTCTGACGCAACTTGGCCTAATGCTGCGATTCCACCTACCTTGCATGCATGTCAAATGAGCAGTAAATACCCCAGTGCCTCCCCGCGCAGCAGATCTCAGTTATAAACACCGCAATACAAGCCCAGAAAGCAGCAAAAGGCAACGGTTTGGGTCAGCTGTAGTTTCTGTCCTGCTAGAGATGACTGAACCACCTGGCTCAGGTTGAAAGTGTAGACTCCCTCGGTGCTCGAGGGAGTGGGGAGGACGCCAGGTCGTGCCCCAGCCTGGTCTAGGCGAGAAGTGAGGCGTCTACCTATTGTAGATCAATGCAAACCCCCACAACACTCAAGGCATGCTCAGGAGGCATTTTGCCACTTGCTAGGCAAGGCAGATATGAAGCAGATGCCCCCAGCCTGCCTCCAGTACAGGAAAGCCCACTCCAGGGAAAGCCCAAGCCCCTGCAGGACTCGGTCCCATTTGCCAAAGGCGATCGGCCAGCTCCAAGCATCCAACTCCCCCGTCGCCTTGCAAAGGGGACCCACCCTGCCCCCTTACCTTGGAAGACGGCAGCGTTCTGGATGACGAGGAACTTCAGCTCCATGCTGGCAGACTGGAGAAGCTGCTCCATGTTCAAGCGAGCTGTTGCCTGGTACTTTTCCTCCATCTTTCTCGAGCAGCACGTGGAGCCCTTCGGGAGGCACACTTGCAAGTCAGACCCTGAGAACACACACAAGGGGGGTGGGAAGCGGGCATCAGTAACGTAGGCATGTCGTGCCCCTACGAAAGAGCAGATCCATAAGTTGGTACCGATGCATTAACTACTTTAGGCAAAGCCTTTCAGCATCTCGATTCATAGGAGGGCGGGCTGGGTTTCCAAGGGGTGCCAGGGCAGGAGACCCCAGGTAAATACAGCAAGGCAATGAACACAGAAGCCCCCGTATCTGCTTCCAGCACAGCCCCCCAGCCTACGACACTGGACCAGGGATACAGCACAGCGTGCCACTCGCGTCTCCGTGGCTGCAGGCGTGACAGGAGCACTATAGGAGGAAGCCAGAAGGTTGGGAAGGGCATAGGAAACCCAGCGCACAACAAGGAGCAAAGCGATGATGCTGACAGACAGAAGAAACAAGGGTCTGGGGCTAGGGAACTCATGTCAATGAAACAAGGCATATAACCAAGCAATCCAGTCTGCCACGGACATCGCAGGATGGGCTGTACACTGCAACAATGACTTTTCAGTGCCCTCCATGTCAGATGGCAGACAAGGTGCTTTGGGTAAACCCGATATCTTTTATTAAACCAACCTACACCCCTGATCCATGCCAGGCGGCAGCCTCCCCTGCAGAAAACCTGCTAGAACGGTGCAAGGGTTAGCATCATGCTGGGCCAGCCCTGTATCACTTAACTTACACGCGCTACACTGAGGACCACGGGATGCCTGTGAACGGGCCTGGGGCTTTCACCAAGCACCGTGCAAGTTGGCGGGCCCCCTTCTCTCAGACACAACGGCAGGCTCAGACCTGGTCTGCACCAAGTCCAAGCGCAGTCGCACGTGCCGACACACCAGCAATGCTCCTCACGAGGCAGCCTCCCGCTGCAGCAGACCAAGTGGAGAAGCATCCACAGTTTTCAGAAAACAACTGTTTCGGGTGCCTGGCCCCTGGGTGCCCAGCCTGGGTTTGGTTTGGTTTAAACCAACTACTGAGGTCTCGCACTCTCGAAGCAAATTAGCTCAAGTTACACGCTCAAAATGCCAGGATCTTAGAAAATGCCTGGACTTCATTCCAACTCATAGGCTTGCAATTCTCTTCTGGACTCACTCCCGGAAGCGTGAGATTAGGG